CAGCGGGAACAAAGGCAACGTTCTCCACTACCTCTTCCCTAGTGACAAGGGGATATTATCCGCATCTTCCCCTCCATTTCTGAAGCTTCTTGTAAATAAGATGCTGTATCTTTGCTTGCTACATTCAGTTGAGCAGTTCTGCACATAGCAACTTCTCCCAATCCATTTAATACAGCAATCTTATCAGCAAGAGCCAGCTTTGGCTTTGTAAGGAAAATAATCAGGTTATATTCATTTAGTTCAAATGTATTCACTGTAATTTGAAGAGCATTGACTTAACAAATATATGTGAGTGTAAGAGTGTTTCACAAACACAACTGTGTTCATGCATCTATATAATTTTTTATGTATTTAACTGCTCAGAAGAGCTCTAGATGGCAGATTTTAAAAAAAAAAAATTTCCCCTATAAAAAAAAAAAGGAACCAAATCAGTGTTTGTGCAGGCAAAATTTGTTGAAGTTCACTTAAGCAGTATCTGTTCTGTAAATAACGAATTCACACCGTAATCACTCCATTTTCTGCAACTAAATGCTCAGAAAAGTGCTCCCACCCAGGGCCCACTGCACCAGGAGTTTTTTTTTTGCATCTTCCTGCCTTCAACCACACAGCACAGGGACTGGGGCCGACTCCAGCAGTGGGAGCCTCGGCAAGATCAAACACCAAGAAGAGACCCATGCTGCACTGCTTTTCTGACTTTTTTTTTCCCTGTCCTTTGAAGTGGAGCAGGAACTTGTTCTTAAACCAAATGAACTTGGGATGTACTTACAGTCTTTCCTGAACACAACTTGAAATAGAAATGCCAGCTTCCAGGCTCTGACAGAATGACACGATACTACAAACAAAAACTCCTTTGTACGAAAAGCATCGCAACAAATTTCAAGAGCAAGGGCACATGTTATTCTTGTACTCCGAGTCTAGACCACAAACTGATTCAAACGATTTTGTTGTTTGTATTTTAAAACAGAGGGAAGGCATGTTTCTTCTCACTGACACGGCAGCTGCAGCATCTCTTTAAAAAAACACCTCAGGATTCCATTTCTCTATAAAGACCACAATTTAATTTACTTGAATTTTCTAAGCACATCCACTCAAAACCTTACACACACACACACACATACACCCCCCAATAACACAAAAGAACTTTGCTGTTGAACCTAGTCTGTATCAAATACCAGCAAACAGCACGAGACACTGACAATGGCAGTGGGAAGTAAAGCAATTAACAACAACGCCTTATATCCTTATAAGCCTTTACACTTCCAAAGATGAGGGTTATATTATCTATTGTGGTCTGAATTTCAGCAAGCTAGAAAGAACGGCTGAGAATGGCACACAATAAATCGACACTAGAACTTTTTCTGCACCTCTACAGTACTCCAACATGTGCGATGTGTCCTCAGTTACTTCCCAGGAATCTGTTAGCAAGTTTAGAATTTTATTTAGGCATACTTTAACTCAATTTAAAGATCCTATTACCCAACATTTAACCAAGTGGATCACAGTTAGGAGCTTATAAATGTCAGTGTATATTATCTTACTTCAGAGTAAGATGAAAACTAAATCCCCTAGTTTTACTAAACTGACAGTAAGACCAAAACGAAATCCAAAGAAGTTGGTCATTAAACAACAGACCCCATATACAGCAACACAGTGACAGCTATTTTTATTTTTCAATGTTTTCTTTTAATTTTACTTCTGCAACTAGCATGGAGCTGTGAGGTAGTATCCAGATTTACACACACACACACAACCAGAGCTCTTTTCCTTTCATCACTTCATATGCAATTTCTGTTTGATACTCCTATTATCATCCACAGAAAACAAATTACATAGCAACACACATCTGACATTGATTTTCACTAGTGTTACCTTTGCTTTCTCATTAAAAAAAAAAATATCACATTAATGTTTTCATTGCCTGAAAAATGCATACACTTAAAATTAAATGTATTTAATCTTAAAGCAATATCAGCTGAATTTTCCACGATCCTGTTGCAGCAATCATCTCACCAAGTTTCATGATACTGTTCAAGTATAAAACAAAACATCAGGTCCAGGTGTGGGTACTCCTCATTATCTTGCTATTTACAAGGTGATCTCATCTGCTACACTGAGAAACTATCTGCCCATGGTTTGGATGGGTGTACTCTTCACTGGATAAAGAACTGGCTGAGTGGTAGTGAATGGAGTTAAATCTAGCTGGTGGTCAGTCACAAGTGGTGTCTCCCAGGGCTCAGTTTTGCATCCGGTCTTGTTTAACATCTTTATCAATGATCCAGATGAGGGGATTGAGTGCTCCCTCAGTAAGTTTGCAGATGACACCAAGTTGGGTGGGAGTGTCGATCTGCTCGAGGATAGGAAGGCTCTGCAGAGGGATCTGGACAGACTGGGTCGAGGCCAGCTGCATGAGGTTCAACAAGGCCAAGTGCTGGGTCCTGCTTGTGGGTCACAACCACCCCATGCAACGCTACGGGCTTGGGGAGGAGGTGCTGGAAAGCTGCTCAGCAGAGAAGGACTTTGGGGCACTGGTCAACAGCTGCCTGAACATGAGCCAGCAGTGTGCCCAGGTGGCCAAGAAGGCCAACAGCATCCTGGCTTGTGTCAGGAATGGTGTGGCCAGCAGGAGCAGAACAGTGATCGTGCCCCTGTACTCAGCACTGGTGAGGCCGCACCTCGAGTACTGTGTTCAGTGTTGGGCCCCTCACTACAAGAAGGACATGGAGGTGCTGGAGCCTGTCCAGAGAAGGGCAACAAGGCTGCTGAGGGGTCTGGAGAACAAGTCTGACAAGGAGCAACTGAAGGAACTGGGGCTGTTTGGTCTGGAGAAAAGGAGGCTGAGAGGGGACATTATTGCTCTCTACAACTACCTGAAAGGAGGTTGTAGCGAGGCAGGTGTTGGTCTCTTCTCCCAAGTAACAGGCAATAGGACGAGAGGCAATGGCCTCAAGGTGTGTCAGGGGAGGTTTAGATTAGATATTAGGAAACATTACTTTACTGAAAGAGTGGTCAGACATTGGAACCAGCTGCCCAGGAAGGTGGTGGAGTCACCATCCCTGGAGGCGTTTAAAAAAACATGTAGATGTGGCACTTCAGGACATGGTTTAGTAGGAATGGTGGTACTGGGTGGATGGTTGGACTTGGTGATCTTAGAGGTCTTTTCCAACCTATAATTCTGTAATTCTAGGGCCAAAAGCTCTTCCTAGGAAGACTTTTCCAGATGGGAACAACAAGATGGCATCAGGGCTGACAATCTCCCACCTCTCTAGGGTTCCAGGCTCCCTGACCTCAGGGTAGTCACCTTGCTCACCCACCCCTCCCAGCATGCCAACTCACAGGGACCCTGAAAAACATAGCACAGCTCCTTTCCCCCAGCTCCTTGCCAGAGAGAGAGAGAGAGAAGGGCATTACTACCCAAGTGAAGACAAAAGGAGGAATATACTCGACTCCCAATCACCCATCGTTTAGTTCCCGTTTAGCACAGAGACAGCAATTGCTTCAGAGGCAAGACGAGGGGAGCAGCTAGAAGGAAAGAGACACTGCAGCAGGGCTGGGTTACGGCAGGGAGCACACCAGGCTCGACACCAAACTCTGCACGGGGCACAGGAACTATCCCGTTGCACAAAGCACCTTGCAACGGCAGCGCTCTCCGCATGTTGGCCAACTGCTCGCCACTCTGCACATTTGTCCAGTTTGAACTCCAAGTCTGATTACCTCTGCCTTTGCTAATTGCCCTCTCGAACGCTCACCAGGCCATAGCAAGGTGCCTGTGCTCGCACACACGCACTGACGGCGGCAGGCTGAAGGCAAACTCAGCAGCACGCAACGGGCAGTGCATCCCTTGAAGCATATTCTGTCTGCGTTAACCCACTAGCGTAACGGAGAAACTGCTGTCAGCGTTACGCAGCTCACTCACTAGCAGGGAGTACTTGAGCACATCATGACAATTACCCCAGCAATACCACGACCCTTTGACCACACCACATTCTTAATGATGCCCGTCAACATTTTGATAATGAAATGAAAGAATAACAGCACAAATAACAGGACAATAGAACATTTGTTATGTCATAACCACAAACCATAAGGGAAACTATATATTGGTTCCCCCAGATACTCAAGAAAACCATGAATTCATACAAAATAACACATTTGAAAAAAAATAAGTTGGTGTGCCATATTTCTTCATGTGGATGCCTTAAAAATGCATTTGTATTCAGGTTCACTAATCCTTTGCCATTTTCTCCCTACCTGCTGTGGATTTCTGAAATATCTGAAAGCATTGCTGTTTTCTAGCCTCCCTTTATAAGAAAAATTCAACAGGTTTACTTACGCATTAGGTTGTAAATGTGCTTTTCTGCAACATGTTCCGTAAACAGCTTTATAAGGTCATCTTTTAAGTCTCTGTTAAGCTTGGTTTCTATGTAAAATTTATTCTGGAAAATAAGACAGAAGTTCTCAAGTTTGTTTTTCATAACAGCAAATAAAGTGAATTTACTTTTTCCCCCTGAATAAAAATAGTTCAGAATTTTAAAGCTGTAGAATATTTAACCTGTAAAGTGCTTCCTTGGTGACTGTATTTATACTACATAGAACGTTCCTGTACAACAAAAACACATGTATTTAAAATCAAGAATGTACGTGGTATGATTGGCAACAAGTCTACTTACGTACAGGCACACTTTTTTTTTCTATATCTACAGATATATCTCCATATCAATCCAGACTGGGGAGTTTGTAGAAAAACACTTCATTTTAGAAATTTATAAACACTCTAACAACAAAATAGGGCTGGACACCATGTTTATAACAAAAGAAAACATTTTTACCAATGTCTAAAAGTGATTAAGCCATTAAAACAGGTATGTTACAATAATACATCATCAGTACAGCTATCCGCTTCTGTGGTTCATCGATAATCTCCGAGGACAGCTTCTCAGAATTACTCAGTTGTGGAAATAAGTGATACATGCAAATCTATACAAAACTGGACTACACTAAAATTTTTAGGATTCAATTATCTTGACCCACTCAGCAATAATAATAAATTCACCTCTTCAACCCTCCAAGGAAATTCTATTTACGAGTTCCTCAAGGCTCTCTATACATAGCATCCCAGCCTGAAATTAATAGTAAGACTTCTTGATTGTATTTTATACATAGGTGGGTTTTAAATGCTGGAATAAATAATTGTTTCAAGATAAATCTCTTATTGGTACAACACTAACACGGAACTAGAGCAACTGAACTCATCTGGACAACTTGTGTAAAAGAGTTTAACAGATACTGTAACAGAAAATCAGCTTAAAAAAATAACGTACTGGAACACTTCTCTGAGAGATTTACTAGAGGAAGGGATATCTTAAGGGAGGAAAGGCTTTTCCACACTTTAAATCAAGTTGTGCTCCTACTCGCTACAGCATTTAATATAATTGGAACAAACCCTCAGAGCACTATTCAAGCAATCTTTGTTTTTTCTTGTGAAACCCACTCTCTCGACCATTACCAAAACTACAGACATACCATAACAAACTGTCCATGCAGAAACCACTGAAATTTTCAAGGCAAGCATTCAGCAGCAGCAATTCACCTTTAATGAACACTGAACCTGTTCGAACCAAGGCAATCCAAGGGCTGAATGCATGCCCCTATTGAAGTTTCAGTTTGCTGCAGTGCTGAGCAACAATCAAGATTTTTTTTTTAAATTTAGCAACATCGTACTGCCAGTTCCCTCCCTGAAGCTATCCTACCTGCAGAGGTTTCACCAAGGGCTATGACTCAGTTCTCCTCCTCACCTGGGCCTCTCCTTTGAGCAGAGCTTGAGGGAGAGGCTCTGTAGACAAAATAACCCATCTTGTAAGAAACAGACTAACTTCATTTGTAATAGTTTTGGTCAGTGGTGAGCTGCCATTGCAGCAGAAATTCACAGCAACTGGGGATCGACACCTTCTAAGCAGCGTTCAGCTACGCACCACGCTACAGCCTTTCATCAGGCCTGACCTCCTGAAGGGTTTCCACCTTGAGCCTCCTGACCACACGCTGCCTGCCACCGACCCGCTGGCGCAACGGAGCGTCCCAGCACCCGTCTGCTGACCCCAGGCAAACCTGACAACGTCACACTGCTGATTCTCATGAGCTGACAGATGAGGTGCAGCCGGCTACAGAAATAGCTTACTCTGTTCCTTCCCCAGCCTCCAGCTCTTCTGACATTAAAAGCAGCAGGCAATGACATGTGCAAACTGTGATGCTTTAAGAGTTGGAAAGCCTACACCATACGTTTCATAACTAGAAAAGCTACAAAAAAAACCCCCAGTAGTTTCAAGAAGAGTTTCAACATGTTACTTATACATACAACAACTGTAAAATATTCTTCACATTTGCTCACTTGGAAACACCTTTCCAAAAAGATGTTACACTTGCATGGATTTAAAAAGACAACAGCAAAAAATCACCTAAGGAGTACTTCATTTGCAACCCACAGTGCTGAAGGGAGACCGCAGAAGAGCTGTCACCTTCCCTATCCTTGTTAATGGAAAACAAGGAACATTTTCAGTATAAGAAGTCACTACCTAGACTGTACCACTATTTCTTGAAAAGTGTGTCAAGTCACCTAAAGGTCTAACTGACAAGGAAAAGGTAAGCAGATATCAGTAACTGAGAAAGTCAGCTCCGATACAAGCATTTCTTCTACAAACCCCCACATCACAAAGCAATCTGGAAAACATTAAGACATAGAATTGTGCTAATATTAAGAGGACAGCAATAAACACTTGAAAGAGAAAAAACAGTATTTGAGTGCTTATCACCTCATCCGCACAAATATATACACTCTGACACACACAACATGCCCTCTAGCTGATAAGCAATGAAGTGCCAGCCATACCACCCAGTAAGAACAGTAATATTTAGAGGCACTGAAAAAATTCTTAACTATCCTAAAACCACAGTGCTCATAGATGTTAGGCTCATTTCATGCAACAAGATAACACATTTTCAGCTACATCTCTAAGTATAATTAACAACTGAGAACCTATTAGAAAAAGTATATCATCTAAATGCTGATTTTAATTCTTCTTGAAGTGGAAATACGATTTTTATTCATTCATGTGTGCAACATACTGTGATATGTACAATCTCTAAGCATTCAGAATAACCTCATTCAGCTTTACAAAGCAAACAATTATTTACTAGGAATTCTTCTTGGGAATAAACCACTGTGTGCTAAGCTGACTTCCAGTTTAATTTGTTTTATCTGCAGTTACATCACAGAACATTTGAAGAAGCTTAAACCTGCAGAATTTTGGAGGGACAAAAGTGCTTTGGGTCTCCGTGCTTTCTTGAAAAGTCCATTGTGGCAGCATAAGACTGAAAAAAATCCAGCACCACATGAAAAAGAAAACCATTAGTGCTCCTTGCAAAAGAAGAAAAAAGAAAGCACCCTCAATTGCAGTGTCAGCCCTTTCAGCCATCACTCAAGACAAGCTCTGAAACACACTGGTCACCATATACACGCAGGTTAAGATGACACCTTTCCTGTATTCCCACCGTTCACACACAAGAATACAGTTTGGTGCATACCAGGAAAAAGAAGAAAAGTGCTGCTGTTGATATGAAAAGACACAGGACTAAGCCTAAGGCAAAATACTACGCCTTTTTTGGCCACCAGGGGTCAAAAACATGTTCTAGTTGTACAAAAACACTTTAGGTTTTCCTTGGCCTCATAGATTTTAAAATCTTTAAATGCATATTAAAAGTTTTCCTAAGCAGCAATGTAATTATCCTTTCAGAACAAAGTTCGTTGGTGCAATTCAACAGCCTTGAAAACTCCTGATTAAAGCAATCACATCACTACCAAAAAAGGAAAGCCCTGTCATCTATGATAAAAAGGCAGAGTTCAACAACTTAATCCTCTTCACTTAAAAATACATTGAAAGTATCTATTAAAGTAACTGCAAAGCTGTAATTTATATGGTAGAATAATTAGGCTTTCACCTCTTGCAATTGTTTTTTAATTGTTTTTTCTTGTCTAAATGAAGGAAACTGCTGCTGCATGATTAGACACTACAATGTAAAATTGCAAGAGGCTGTACATAAAGGACTTCCAAATGCATACAGAAAAAACTGAGGCAAACACCTTTCATCCTGGCTTCTCCAGAGATATTTTCCACACCATGCACAACACTGATTTATTGTTTCAGAGAAAAAAGTACAAAACTTAATTTGACATTAGCCTTCAAAACCAGCTACACAGCTGAGCCACAGCAGCACTGCGTTTGGCAGCAAGAGGAACTAATACGTAAGTCACTAAAAGGGGGCTTGTAAGAAACATGCGGACAAGCTCTTTAGCAGGCCCTGTAGCGACAGGACAAACGGTAGTGGTTTTAAGCTAAAAGAAAGTAGATTTAGATTAGATCGAAGGAAGAAGTTTTTTTTACAATGAGGGTGGTGAAACCCTGGCACAGGTTGCCCAAGAGGTGGTCGATGCCCCATCCCTGGGAACATTCCAGGTCAGGTTGGATGGGGCTCTGAGCAACCCGATCCAGCTGAAGATGTCCCTGCTCACTGCAGGGGGGCTGGGCTAGATGACCACTAAAGGTCCCTTTCAACCCAAAGCATTCTACAATCCTATCATAAGTCTCAGGCCTAACTTGAATTAAGTCACTTAAATGAGAAAGCGTTTGCAGGAACAGAGTTTTACTGCCTGAACAAATCACCAGCCATGCTTTAAAGCAGCATCTCTTTTAAAACAGTAGAGTGCTTTCACTTTTCTTTGTTCTCAAATTAAAAAAAAAAAAAGCGCTAACTATTCATTCTACAGGTCTGTTCATTACTCATTAACCATTTTTACTATGTTCAGATATCAGTTAGACTCAAACTCTAAAAAAAGAAATGATGGGACATGGAACGCTCCTCATTGAAGATACAAACATCACACCACAGCCGTGTACAAAGAAAGACATGGAAATCTATTTGGCAATTGCACTTTGTCTGGTCATACAGACAAAGCTTATAATGATAAAACCTGTCTGTTTATATGTCTCATGAACGTTTTTCCGATGGTAGTTGCTGTAGTCTTAATTGCGAAGGATAGATTTTGACCTCTGTGACAGAAGAACCTCAGTGACAGAACTGAGCATTCAATAAAAGCACACACCTGAACAGCTCCATCTGTAAACTGCTTAAACACCTGCCTGCAATAAACAAGCACACATAGGTAAAAAAAATGGCTAGCATCTAAACATATCTGAAAGCAACAGGGGGGGAAAGTCTCCTAGTTTTTCCCCAGCATTTCGTGACAGGAGCCAGGAGAAAAATCAAAGTCATCGCTTGGAACACAACCCTTAGCTTACAAGTGAAGCTGTAGCAACTGGATTTCATTTTGTATTGACTAGATAAAAGAGCAGATGAGAAGACACCCAGTTCAAGAAAGGCAAATTTCTCTTTTAATGCAATAAATCTGTAGGGTAACACTATACAGAAAGACTGTAGCAAGTTACCTGGTTTCAGATACATTCACTGAAACATAGGAGATCCTTCCAAAAGATACTGCTTCCCAAACTCTGGGAAGCTGAAGAGTTTGACATGTATTTAATCTAAATCACTTTAAATATTTCTTCCTTTAGAGAAGTTTCTTTCCCCAAAAATATTTCAATTTTTAAGTGATGCCAATGCAAGGATGGCTTCTGGGAGAAGGACAAATTTCAAGTATAGGTTATTTATTACCATAAAAAAAGTCTTGGCACTTTGACAAAAATGATGCAAATAATAAACTTCCTCAGAGGTACAGAAGATATCATAAATTACAAAACCAGCACAACAAACACATATAGCCAATGGTTTCTGAACCTCTGCAAGTACACCTGACAGTGCTACGAACATAAGTTTGTCTTCATTCAGTCAATGCTCTAAATTGCTTTCTCAAGTGACACAGGCATTCCCAAGGGACACTTCTTTCTGTCTTGTCTGAATCTGTGCAATTTAAAAGCAAGAAACAATCATCTTTGTAACCTGCCCAAACTACCAAGCCAACATATAAACAGGCATTGAACTATCTCTGTTCAGAAAGATATAAATAATGACCTAACTATTTGGGACAGCTTTTTTCCAATCAAAATAAAAACCATTCTCCCCCACTCCCAGGAAATAAATACTAGGGCAGAAATCAACTGCAACACTCTACATTTAAAAGCATGGCTTCCCCTTTCTCTCCCCACACAGCTTGATCAGTACTGTTACGCAGGTAGCAAACCCAGGCATGAATCATGAGTTCTGCAAGTTAAAAATCATTATAGCTGCATTTTATTCTTTTCACTTTCAGTCAGCATCTTGTGTATGGATATACTTTATTTGAAAAGAATTTTCTAAAACTTACCATATATATGAAAAGAGGCACAATGCTCTGCAATGCTCCCATATACTGTCCAAGAGCTACGTTAAATCTTTCAATATAGAGATCTGGAGGGCTGGCCTGCAAGAAACCGTAAAAGTCAGGTTGTAATTTGAACAAGAGAAAGATCTGGAACAGCATGGGCTATGCTTTCATAGCAAACTCAAAATAACTACGAAGTATTTGATACGCTAAGTCCACACAAAGCAAGCCACACATCATTCCAGAGTTTCTGCTATAACTCCCTCCAGCAAAACCACTTTTCTTCCGTAACTGGTTTTTGCCTAGGACTATGTGTCAGTGCCCAGCAAAAAGGTGCATTCAGTAGGACATACAGTATGCTGCAACAAACTACCATTTAGCATACGCAAATAAAAACATTTATTAAAAGACCAGACCTTCATCTTGAAAGAACTATCTGTCACACCTAGAATCCGTAACCAAATTCCAAGAAGTGCTGCGGTGTGTGCTCCGACCTCCCTGCGAGCTTTTACTGCAAGACAGCAGGGTGGCATTTGAGCTGCTGCTTTGCATCTGAGCTGGCAAGCGGCACATCCTCCAGCTTCAGGGAGCACTGTCCTTCACTGAGAACGTTTTTAAGTTTTTGCTGGGTCACCTACGGCAAGGCAAGTATCCAGGGTGGTGAGCTGGAGGGACTATGAAGGAATGTCTTCAGAAAGAGCTCTGCACCTGGAGTCCTGCACTCCAGATCAGGCCCACGAAAACCTGCTGCCGTGCTCCACTACACAGCATTACCCCGCAGCCCCAAGAAAAACCTCGCTACACAAAACTTGAATGTGTCAGCTTTATGACAGGCCTTGTGGAGCCCACAGGCACAGCACTGCTATTTTCTGTGTACAACACTATCTTTCCCAAAGAAGGGAAAAAGGAAGCTAAAAAGCTCTGTTCCGCAGCCAAGCTAAGTTAAATTGAGGAGGGAACAAGAAAAATGGGAAGCACTAGCCACCATTGCTTTTGTAAATAGGGGAACTGCATCAGAGCGTTCAGGAGTGCACTTACACAGCCAGGGATGGAAGTGGAGCGGGGGTAACGTGTTCCTCCACTACCCCCTCTCCTTCCCAACCCACCCACCCACCGAGCTCTGCCCCCAGCCCAACTCCTCCTGCCTTCCCTCCTGCCGTCTTCTCAGAGGAGAGGGTGGGAAGCTCCCGGAGTTTCTACTGTTCGCATACAACACACACCTATGCACACCCAAGGACAAAGTGTTGCTTGCTAATGAGAAGCAAAACTTCTCTTCCCTCGCACCATTTTCCCCTCTGACAGTGCCAAGCCAGAAGAGCATGGAGAATGCAGCAGCGACTGGAACGTTGCAAGCGAACAAGCTCAAAGATTTTTCTACAGCCAAATGCTCAAGGCTAGCTGCACCTCAACCATTTTATCGGAACTTAAAGCTCTTATCTTTACGAAGCAGACTTGTCAGCCTTTGTATGGACATTCTCCAGGGGCCCTAAGACAACAGTTAAAATTTGTGTTGACTTTTTGCTCTACTAAGTATTCTAAATTTATGAAAGTTTTTTCCTTTAAAATAGCTTCTTTTGCCTCCCTCCTTAATATGCTTAATGAACACGTGGGTAATTTTCACAAACAACAATACAGAGCAGAAGTTTCAGAAAGGAAAGGAAAACTGGCAAAGGAATAAAGAGTGTTATTCCATATGCTGTTGCCAAAGGTTATATATGGTTATTCCCCATTTTGATTGTAAGTTTTTAATCTTATTGCAGATGCAGTTCTCAGGGGTGGCCAAACAAATTCTAGTTCAAAATGCCAACAATGCATAAAAGTAGCTACGAACTCCAAGGACTCCCTTTCATATATAGTTACATATATAATTTGTTGCAAATAATATGCAACAAAGTCTGCATTTCTAAGCAGTATGTATTCCTGCTTCACTCCTTTTTAACCTCAACTTTAAATATGGTTATACTCTCTGATCTGTAAAGACTTGGTATACAGCTTCTAAGATTAAAGAAAAAGGAAAATTCTACTTCAAAGAACATGTCAGACAAAAGGACACCATAGCCTGACACAAGGCACCACTTTTCTCTCACTGACCTTGCATTTCTCATAAGACAAAAAAACAAACCAAACCACCCACCAGAGACAGATGTTGTCTGGACAGTATGTGATTTAATCCCATGAACGGACTCTAGGCAATGGTGTATACCCAGCCTGCCACCCTTTTTACAGGGCATATGAAGGACTGGTATCTTCTTCCTCCCCTGGAGATGAAACATCTGCTAGCTCACCTCACAAAGCCTATGACACACTGAGACATTTTACAAGCGAACAACAACTGCACACCCAGCTGTCTCCAGAGAACAACCTCACAAGGCCCTTACTGAAAGGACACCCGTTGACCACCACCACCTTACAACCAAATGGAAAGCAACTGCTCTAGATCTACACAAAAAAACCCAAGAAAAGTCCTGACAGCTTCACAGGAAGCACTCACTAGTGTCAGGCAAATATCAGGCGTTGGGTCTTAACCTCTGGAATGCAAAATCACGGTGTTAACTGCTTTATCAGCATGAGACGTTACCTTTAAGTTTTATTCTCCTGACAGTGTTGCAGATGAAGCCTCAACGGTCAAGAAACTCTCAGGAAAGCACAGACTACCTGAACTCTGCTTGTTTCCAACAAAAATGCAACCACTCTCCTCACTTATTGCTTGACTTGTAAACTAACAGAAGACCCAAGCCAAAGAAAAATCAATAATAGTATTTTCACAGCTCATCTATGAATTATCGTAACCTGTGTGGAGAGAACAGAACCATCTGTTTTCTGTTCATCAGGGTGTTACTGTATGTATGCTCAAAACTGCTAGACTGAAATCAATTACTTGTCAGAGCATAGGAACTTTCTCCACATCTCTACATTCACATTAATATGACAGTAACTGGAGTAGGACTAGCTTTATATAAACTACATGAATTTTCTAAACTAAAAAGCAGTGTGTGGCACCAAATTCATGAGTAACTAGATACTGCGAAGATTATTCCATTAAATGGCCACCATTAGAGTAGAAGTCACATTTAAAATCTATATTTATTCAGCTATAGCTATTATAAAAAAAAATATTAAAAAAAAACTGTGCAGGCTGACATTTTTCACTCTGGGTTTTAGTCCACAAAAGATAACAGGTACATTCAGCCGTGTTAATTACAAGGAAGGGGTAGAATTAACCATGACATTTACTTCTTAGAACTCCCCCCCCCGTACCCCCCCCAACAAAATTCAGTCTTTAAAAACCACTCCTATGTTACCTGAGGGATGTATTACGGAAGCTACTCAAAGAAAGAAAAATATACTGCTGGCCTAAGGTTTTCCTGGAAGGAAGAGGATTCTTTGTTCCTTCACTCCCCATCCTGAATCCTATCAAACTGTCAGTTCATGCTTGGGGTTTTTTGAAGACACCCTATACAGAGAGACAGCTTAAATCCTCTCCTACATTTGCTCTCATATACCACTCACAGGGTTAAGAACAGTTTTCCAGTGGCAACTATATTGTGCCTCTGTCCATGGGAGCACTACACGTTTGGCCAGGTTTCTCAAATTGTAATGCAGTCGCATTTGCTTAAAATCTCAGCTTGGTTTTGAGCTGACTACTTAGCATAAAATACTATGGCTGCTGTTAAAAAGTTAATGTTAAGGGCACCATTTAGTCTCCTTACGCACCACAGTGGACATCTCAGCACCAAAAGAAATGAGAATTAACAAGAAAACACATTTGAGAAAGGATGACATGCAAGACACACATCTTCAAACAAAACAAGCAATTAGAGACCCTGTGTACTATATACTATATTACCCTTCCCTTATTTGAAATCTAGTATCCAGGCATTTAATTGAACTCATGGGCAAGAAACCATATACATGAAGATGTCGGGTTTTTTCAGTTTGAAAACAATTTTGAGTATCATTCTTTGACTGAACATATGAATGAAACCAGAAGACATGCTGCTGGTTCAAGACAACTCAGAAATGGCTCACAAGAAAGAAACAGTGACAACAGTTCTTTGCTTGAGGAACACAAAGTTAATCTGTTTATGACTAGTCGTCTGGCACAATCAGCAATATATTTAGTAAAGCTTACATTCCTATGTTGAACGGGCAGTTCCGTTTTCCTGGGAACATGCTCACTGTCAAAATGCCAGCATGCATGCTGATTCATCTCTCCCACGCCTGCCAAATGAAAAGGGAGAATGGCTATGACTACACAAACTAACCTGCTATTCATGTAAGTGGCCTGAATCTCTGCAACCAGTTTTTGTTCTTCCTCAAGAAAGTGGAATGTGTTTACTTTGCCTTGCAGACAATTTATGTGATGCCCAGGTCTACCTCACTAGACAAGGGTACTATTAAAACTTTTGAAAAAAGACATCAAGCCAAAGTACAATTCACTCAAAGACTGACTGAGTCCTCCTATTCAAGTCTGCACTCAAAACTGTCCAAAGCCGTACAGCACCGTGACGTACTCTCGTATAATCGTCTTGGAGCAGGGTAGCAGATCTAGGCCATGTTTCCATTTCCGTTCTACAATGTCTTTTTGTTTTACAAACATGTATCTAAGGACCACCAAAACTCTGTTTAACATGAAGAAATTTTCAGAACCTTTTCCATCTAGTAAATACATATTCATTTGTGCCATATTCTTCTGTCTTTCTGTAATTGTATCAGGGTCTGCAGCACCCAGTGTAGCGTGGCAAGGAACTAAAAATGACCGCAGGAATGTAAGTGTTTTCAAAAAGCTGCAGGCAAGGATGCTTTTTTCAGGTTAGCTTGTTCATGACAATGTCATTTTTAACAGCAATTTTGGCAGTATGGTGATCCCTACCTTACCTCAAGTCAAAAGCCATCTTTTTGATGTCCACACATGAAGATGCACACATTTCTGAGTTCTAATACTGACCATTCATTTGATTCGACTCAATTCAGTGTGACTCACACCAGTAAAGGCTTGTTTCACACACAATCAAGCATCGCTCCCTCAGCAAAGCTGATAAATAAATAGTACTGGATGTCTGGGGTCTTTTTTGCTTTTAAATATTATGGACCAGACA